GAATTTTCCTGCCTTGAGATATTGAGACTCGAATATTTCACCTGAAGGTGAGGGTGAGGGTCAGATGTTCGAGTCTCAATATCTCAAGGCAGGAAAATTCATTAGGATCGAATTTTTTCCCGTCGTAACTACTACGACCATGGGCTACCAGTGTGCAAGCTCCAAGTCAAAATTGTTTTTTTTTTTGGATTTTGCACGAAATCCAAGCTCTATAGACAAAAACTGACTAAAAATTCAAGATCTCAGCAACAAAGCACAATAGGGATGAACTAACTTAGGGTATTTCACTACTCACTGAGGTCTACAAGATACAAGTAATCCGAGTTCAAAAACGATTTATAACCTCAAGAGGTTCCCTCGTTAGATTTAATTCTGCTTTGAGAAACTTAAAAGAGCAGATATGACCTAAGTAGAAGAAATAAGTGTCTGATATAACAGATACTGCTTTTCGTCTCATTTAAAATGAGAAGGAAAGCTTTGTAACGTCATCACACACGTGGCTGCTATACAAGTCTATGTGTACTATATGAATTCTTTCACTTTTAGACAGTAAACTAAATAATAAACTTAAAATTATAAATACTAAAGCTTTAATATTAAAGGAAGCAATCAATTACCCAAACCACCAACCACAGCAACAGGTACAATAACAAAGACAATTATTAAAAAAGCATGTGCATTATAGCATTATATAAATGCTCATTTAACATTAAACCACCAATAACTCTTCTCTCTTACGAGAGACCTTTCTGAGGTGACACACTCCTTTTTTTCGTTTGCCTGTCAATCGGTAGCATACATGGAGATAGTAAAAAGCCTAAATGGATATGGTCCCTTATTAAAAAGTTATAGGGATTTTTCTATTTTCATTAGCGGAAAACTCTAAAAATTAAAAAATTCATAACTTAGACGAAATGCTACCTGAGCTCTTGAAATTTTCAGCGCTAATAGACATTAGCCACCTCTAATCATTCTGATAATTTAAAGGCTCTACATTACTTTCTTACAAAGATCCAGAATTCGCAATTCTAAAGGGAATTCGCTTACATCATTTTTAGCTATATAAATAAAAAAAAAAGGAGGAACCAGTATAAATAAAATAATAACTTAATTACTAGAATCATCAAACTTTATAAAAGAAAAAAACATAATTAAAATAAAAATAATAAATATATATAACATTAACGAACATCAATCATTAACAGTAAATGTACCAACTAAAATCATACCAGTATTTCTAATGATGAATAAACTATTAATAATCACAAATCATAAACTATAAGCAAACCTATAAAAGAAACCAAAATCCTAAATAATATAAACTGAAAAACATAAAAAGAATTAAATAAATACAACAATCACAAAAGTCAAAAATTAATAATATTTTAAAAAATTAAAATATAAATATTTATAAAAAAAGTTATTTCAACAGTAATAACAACCGCTCGGTAATGAAAACGAGCAGTTCCTGGTTTAACCACTATCAAAAGAAAAGAAAAGAAAATGAAAAGTAATTTCTATAAACAGTTAAAAAAGAATAAAAGAAAAAACACTTTGAATAAAAAAAACATATAATTAACCTATAATATTTACTATCATTTAAAACCAAAAATAAAAGTATTAAAAACAACATAAACTCATTAGTTAACCAAACATAAAAAACATTAGATACTCATCATCTCCACCGCCTCCACCGTCAAAAATGATGAAACGACGCGTCGCGTTTACGCCCGAGCCGGTTCCACCGTTTATTTTATCATTCACTGGAAATACTCCCAGTCCTAATGAAATACGAACAAAATTATTTGATCTGAAAAATATTCATAAATGTCCAACTACGTTAACAAAGACTTACTTTTATTCCTACAAGATGATGCAGCACAACAATATCTTTTGATTAACCTTCCCTTAAATTTATTTGGTGATAGTTTCACTTACACATCACGTGCTGAGAAAGTTATCCAGAAAACGTTTAGCTGTGTATTGAAAAATGTTGATTCATCTATAAATGAAATCGATCTTTTAACAGATATCTGAGATATTGTATCCGATGTTGTCGCTATATCACGAATTAAAAATGCTGCACAAAATACTCCAACATCCCTTCTTCGAATCGATTTTTCAAATGAAACTGCTCGTGACGATCTGTTACAGAAGCGAAAGTTAATTGTTACACCGTTCGCTTACCCTGTGATTGAATATATTCCATCGGTAAAAATAATCCGGTGTTTCAAATGTCAACAGCTCGGACATTACGCAAACGAATGTAATAATCAAATAAAATGTGGAAAATATAGTGGTAACCACGGACTAGATAATTGTACAAATACAACTCTGAACTGTCCAAATTGTGGAGATGCTCATAAAGCCACCTATCCCGGATGCAAAGTGCGTTTACAATACATAAACAATATAAAAGCAAAGTCATATGCAGAGGCGTTATCCGCTGCACCACCACATCATTCCTCACAAAACTCTCAACAACATCCTCCTCAGTCAAACCAACAAACTACTACTGTTGCGTTACGACCCTCTATCTCAACAACCAATGAAACAAACCTACTGAATACTTTAAATGATATCTCAAAATCGTCGGTTACAATTGAAATTAATCAAATAAAATGTTCTTTGCATCAAAATTTCTCAAATCATCAAGCATTAGAATTAGCGGTCATAAACTGTCAATGTCTTTTGACCTCGTTTGTACATACAATTGTTCCCATTATTAGTAAAAATGCTGATCCAAGCGATATTCCATTACTACAACAATTATACGATTTAATCTCGATTTCAACCAATAATAACAGGAATAACAATGATAACGTCTCAACGAGTTCGTCAGCAAATAATCAACATATCAAATCCCCATCACCACTTGATACTTGGGAAAAAAGTCATTCGTGACGACTCGAGTTATGTGTTTGAACATTAATAGTTCTAACACTCATCATATCGAACTCTACGATCTAATCTCTAAAGTAAGATCAGAAGTTTTCTGCTTAAACGAGATTTTTTCTTTTCATGAAAAGATGTTTTCAAAATTGTTTTTTGACTACCAGCTCTTTTTTAAATATAGAGCACATTCGAAAGGGGGTGGTGCCCTCATTGCAGTCAGAAAACCCATTTCATTTAAAATTATAAATTTGAAATTCTCTGAAGAGATGCTTGGTATTGAATTTACTAACTCGTCCATTTTGAATCTAAAAATTTTCACATACTATGCGTCGCCTAACGCACATTTCAACAACAAACTTTTTGATGAAATAGTAAACTCATCGCCATGCCTCCTACTTGGGAACCTAAACGCTAAAAGCAATTTATGGGGTCATTCAAATCCAAACCCTCGAGTTTTTCATATAGAATCTTACCTCGACGATGGAGATATTCTTCTATTAAACGGTGATACTCCCACCCACCTATATACCCGAAATGGTGCTCTATTTAAAAACATTTTAGATCTAGCTTTTGCTAGCTCAGATTTGGCGCCGTTTTTCTCTTCTTTCGATGTTTGTCAACTATGATCCGCTCCCGGACATCTTCCCATTCTAATTGACGTTAATTTACCTCTCGACGTTTCTGTTTCATCCTTTCGCTCATCATATCTTCTCAAACGCACGAACTGGTCCTTGTTTAGTTCTGAACTATCTACTGTCTGTACCAAAATAGAATGGACTCCGTTGTTTTTTTAATAACTTTTGATAGAAGCCAGCTAGAGAGCTCCGGCTTTCGCCATAAGAAAGCGGAGACTTGGGGACATGTT